ATCTTCAAAGCAATCCTTCACCATTGGTCACTTGATTGGGGGATTATGGGAGTTGCAGCTTTCAAAGCAATCGTTTGTTGTTTGTCACTTGATTGGGGGTTTATGGGAGTTGCAGTCCTCAAAGCAATCATTCACCATTGGTCCCTTGATGGGGGATTATGGGAGTTGCAGTCCTCCCTCCTTGGTGTCACTGCTGGGGGATTATGGGAGTTATAATCCACAAAGCTGTGTTTCCTGCTTGGCCTCTTGGCTACGGATTCTGGGACTTGCAGTCCGTGTTTAACTGGGGATTCTGAGATTGGAGGCCTAGGGAACTGACTTTCCCAGCCTGACCTCCCTTGGCTTGGTTCATCGAATCCTGGGAAGGAGCTTCCCCGCCTTCTTCGTTTTTATGGCCTCAAGTTCAATTCCCGGCCAAGTGCAGGAAAGTTGACTTTTCCGAAAAAGCACTTTAAACCCCTTTTAATGGCTCCAGGTGGGTTTTTAGCAGGATTTCCCTCCCTCTTGGGAGACATTAAACCGGGGAGCAAACAGAATAATCTGTTCCTGGACGGTTCGGTTTCAAGCACAGAGGGAGCCGTGGAGGAGCGTTCACAGAAGTAAGAATTTCCATACAATCCCATCACTTTTACAATATCCTTTCTTTAAAAATCGGCGAGGATGCAGCTACACTACAAATCCCAGGTCTTGAACTGCATTACTTTTACAGGGTAGTAGATCAAAGTTTGGGACCACCAAGCAGGCCACAACACGAACCCACTTCCATTACAGTGACTCTGGGGCATCCACACTGTGGAGTTTATTTATCGTGTCAGGAGCAAACCAAACAGTTGTATCACATTTTTTAACAAAAAAGGCACAAAGTTTGCAAGCTTGGTAGTTGATTAAATGTCCTTTGAGCAGTATCTGGCCACTTGGAGTGCCTCTGGTGTTGCGCAAGGAGGTCCTCCATTGTGCATGTAGCAGGGCTCAGGGTGCATTGCAGCAGGTGGTCAGTGGTTTGCTCCTCTCCACACTCGCATGTCGTGGATTCCACTTTGTGGCCCCATTTCTTGAGTTGGCTCTGCATCTCGTGGTGCCAGAGCGCAGTCTGTTCAGCGCCTTCCAAGTCACCCAGTCTTCTGTGTGCCCAGGGGGGAGTCTCTCATTTGGTATCAGCCATTGATTGAGGTTCTGGGGTTTGAGCCTGCCACTTTTGGACTCTCGCTTGCTGAGGTGTTCCAGCGAGTGTCTCTGTAGATCTTAGAAAACTATTTCTTGATTTAAGTCGTCATGCTGGCTGATACCCAAACAGGGGATGAGCTGGAGATGTCTCTGCCTTGGTCCTTTCACTATTGGCTGCTACTTCCCGGCGGATGTCAGGTGGTGCAATACCGGCTAAACAGTGTAGTTTCTCCAGTGGTGTAGGGCGCAGATACCCTGTGATAATGCGGCATGTCTCATTAAGAGCCACATCCACTGTTTTAGCGTGATGAGATGTGTTCCACACTGGGCATGCATACTCAGCAGCAGAGTAGCATAGCGCAAGGGCAGATGTCTTCACTGTGTCTGGTTGTGATCCCCAGGTTGTGCCAGTCAGCTTTCGTATGATATTGTTTCTAGCACCCACTTTTTGCTTGATATTCAGGCAGTGCTTCTTGTAGGTCAGAGCATGGTCCAGAGTTACTCCCAGGTATTTGGGAGTGCTGCAATGCTCCAGTGGGATTCCTTCCCAGGTCATCCTCAGAGCTCGGGATGCCTGTCTGTTCTTAACGTGAAAGGCACATGTCTGTGTTTTAGATGGGTTAGGGATCAGCTGGTTTTCCCTGTAATAGGCAGTAAGGGCACCTAGAGCTTTGGAGAGCTTCTGTTTAACTATCTCAAAGCTCCTTGCTTGAGCGGTAATGGCATGATCATCAGCATAGATGAAACTCTCTGTCCCTTCTGGCAGTGGCTGGTCATTTGTGTAGATGTTGAACATGGATGGAGCAAGCACGCTCCCCTGAGGCACGCCGTTCTTCTGTTTCCGCCATCTGCTTCTCTGGCCCTGGTACTCAACAAAAAAGCTCCTGTTTTGTAGCAGGTTTCCTATGAGGCGGGTGAGGTGGTAGTCCTTTGTGATATTATATATTTTTCTCAGGAGGAGGCGGTGGTTCACAGGATCATAAGCAGCTGACAGGTCTATGAAGACATCTCTCCAGGGTACTTGGATTGTGCTTTTCCTGCATGGCCGGGGGTTGGACTAGATGGCCCTTGGGTACTCCTTCCAACTCTATTATTATATGAATCTTATGGTCAGAAAGTGCTTATTTTAATTCTGAGTAGGCTTGGTCCCCATGTAAGCTTCCTGAGACCCTTCGAGGAGATGGTGGCAGAATACAATTTTTATTTTTTATTTTTTGTCATGTCAGGAGCGACCTGAGAAACTGCAAGTTGCTTCTGGTGTGAGAGAATTGGCCGTCTGCAAGGACGGGGGACGCCCGGATGGTTTGATGTTTTATCATCCTTGTGGGAGGCTTCTCTCATGTCCCCGCATGAGGAGCTGGAGCTGATAGAGGGAGCTCATCCGCCTCTCCCCGGATTTGAACCTGCAACCTGTTGGTCTTCAGTCCTGCCGGCACGGGGGTTTAACCCACTGCGCCACCGGGGGCTTGGTTACAAAAATAAAGTTATTATTATTTGAAACACAACAAGATGAGTCCACAGCAAATAAAGTCACTTTTCTGGCTGTTGTATTGGATTGCATGTCGGACCATTCCCAAGTGTCTAGGAGTGTGTGATGTATCAGTGAATAATGCATGCAGATCCCAGTAAGGTGGCCTTTTGCAGCTGGCAGATGGTGATTTTGTCAGTGCCAATTGTGTTTAAGTGCAGGCCAAGGTCTTTAGGCACTGCACCCAGTGTGCCGATCACCACTGGGACCACCTTGACTGGCTTGTGCCAGAGTCTTTGCAGTTCGATCTTTAAATCATCATCATCATCATCATCATCATCATCATCTTCTTCTTCTTCTTCTTCTTCTTCTTCTTATTATTATTATTATTATTATTATTATTATTATTTGAAACACCAGATGAGTCCACAGCAGACACTGTGCTGGCTGTTGTAGTGGATCACACGTTGGACCCTTCCCAAGTGTCTAGGACTGTGTGATGTATCGGCGAATAATGTGTGCAGATCCCAGTAAGGTGGCCTTTTGCAGCTGGCAGATGGTAATTTTGTCAGCGCCGATTGTGTTTAAGTGCAGGCCAAGGTCTTTAGGCACTGCACCCAGTGTGCTGATCACCACTGGGACCACCTTGACAGGCTTGTGCCAGAGTCTTTGCAGTTCGATCTTTAAATCCTCATATTGTGTCAGCTTTTCTTATTATTATTTCAAACACAACAAGATGAGTCCACAGCAAACAAGATCACTCTGCTGGCTGTTGTATTGGATCCACATCGGACACTTCCCAAGTGTCTAGGACTGTGTGATGTATCGGCAAATAATGCATGAAGATCCCAGTAAGGTGGCCTTTTGCAATTATTATTATTATTATTATACTGCGATTGTGTTTAAGTGCAGGCCAAGGTCTTTAGGCACTGCACCCAGTGTGCCGATCACCACTGGGACCACCTTACTGGTTTGTGCCAGAGTCTTTGCAGTTTGATTTTTAAATCCTCATATTGTGTCAGCTTTTCCAGTTGTCTTCAATCCTGCTGTCATCTGGGATTGCAACATTGATGATCCATACTTTGCGTTTTAACAGGATCGTGAGGTCAGGAGTCTCATGCTCCAGAACTCTGTCTGTCTGCACCAATTGTGTTTAAGTGCAGGCCAAGGTCTTTAAGCACTGCACCCAGTGTGCCGATCACCACTGGGACCACTCTGGGACTCTGGAAGTCCCAGAGTAGCTTGGCATGTTCATTCTCTGTAACTTTTTTGGGTGTGTGGTCCCACCGGTTCTTTGAAGCTGGAATGTATCCAGAGGAAGGCGACTAAGAACAACCCTATGAGGAGCGGCTTAAGGAGCAGGGCATGTTTAGCCTGAAGAAGAGAAGGCTGAGAGGAGATATGATAGCCATGTATAAATATATGAGAGGAAGCCACAGGGAGGAGGGAGCAAGCTTGTTTTCTGCTTCCCTGGAGACTAGGACGCGAAACAATGGCTTCAAACTACAAGAGAGAGGAGATTCCATCTGAACATGAGGAAGAACTTCCTGACTGTGAGAGCCGTTCAGCAGTGGAACTCTCTGCCCCGGAGTGTGGTGGAGGCTCCTTCTTTGGAAGCTTTTAAACAGAGGCTGGGTGGCCATCTGTCAGGGGTGATTTGAATGCAATATTCCTGCTTCTTGGCAGAATGGGGTTGGACTGGATGGCCCATGAGGTCTCTTCCAACTCTTTGATTCTATGATTCTATGATTCTGTGATTCTATATAAAAATATTATTATTATTATTATTATTATTATTAATTATAATAATAATAATAATAATAATAATAATAATAATAATAATGTTCAGGTGGCACCTCCTTTCCTGTCGTTTGGGCCTACCGCTGCTTTTCCTTTTAGTAACTGCATCCAACCTGAATCTCCCACAACTTTGGCAACCAGACATGAGTGAACTTGGTCCCTCCAGGTGTTTTGGACTTCAACTCCCACCATTCCTAACAGCCTCAGGCCCTTTCCTGGAAACACCTGGAGGGCCAAGTTTGCCCATGCCTGATTACTTCTGTGAAGAGCAGAGCTAGGAGTGTCAAAGCTATGCCAGAGCTAGGATTAGTGCTGTGGAGAGCAGAGCTATGACAGGTAGAGTGCGCCTGGCCATGGAGGCTCTGCTGTGGGTTGGCTCAGCTTGGCTCTGCTCCCCGCTGGGCGTTTCCTGCCTCTCTTCCTCCTCCTCCTCCTCCTCTTCTGCTGCATCTGGCAAGGGGCCGACCTCATCTTCCCCTGGCCGGCCTCGCTCTCTCTGTGTGTCTCTCATTCCTCCTCCTCCTGCTGCTCCTCCTCTTCTTCCTCCTCTTCCTCCTCCTCCCCCCCTTGCAGCCTCCTCCCGGCGGCTCTTCCTCGGGGCTGGGGTCCTTCCTTCCCCTTGGCTGGCTCGGGGGCCATGGGGAGGCAGCGCCGGAGCCGGGACCCTCCTGCCCGGCTGGTGCTGCTGGCTTTGGCGCTGGCTTCGGGCTCGGCGCTGCTCCTGGCCTCGCTCAGCCTCCTCCTCGCCGCCTGGCCCCGATCCGGAGCCCGGCTCCTCCAGCAGGAAGCCCCCGCCGCCCCCATCCCGCAGGTAAGACCTTCCTTGGGGGGCAGACCCTCCCCAAAAAGTGCCCCTTTCCGTGCGCAAAAACTCGTGCGTAAAAACCCGTGCGTAATTGCTTTGCGCACAAGCCAAGCCACTCACTTTTTGGAGAGCGGTGGCTCCCAAACGGGGAAAGATCCCGGGCAAAAGGAAAGGGGGGATTGTACGCCTGTGCCCCCTCTTCCTCGGAGGGCGGAGGGCACTTTTGGGGGGTGTTTAGCAGGCGGGAGAGAAAGGCGTGCTCACAGTGCGCCCCACATCCGGAAGCAGAGCCAAGTCTTCCAAGCAGATTTTGGCACGCCTGGAAAGAGGCTCTTCCCTCCCAAAGTCAAAGGTTTGCCCAGGTCAAGAAGAACCCCAGGGATGAGGAGGGGTCTGTAGCAACAGCCAGGTCGTACCACTTGTTTTGGGGGGCAAGAAACCCACCTCTTCAATAGCCAAACCATCCTATTGTTTTTGAACAACCAGGGATGAGAAATCCACTTCCTGAACAGCCAAAACAAGCTCATTGTTATTGTTTTTTTCACACCAGGGACTAGAAACCAAGGAGCCATTCAGGGGTTGGGCAAACTTTGGCCATTCCTCTAGGTCAGTAGTTCTCAACCTTCCTAATGCCGTGACCCCTTAATACAGTCCCTCATGTTGTGGTGACCCCCAACCATAACACCTGGAATATTGTGTCCAATTCTGGGCACCACAATTCAAGAGAGATATGGACAAGCTGGAATGTGTCCAGAGGAGGGTGACTAAAATGATCAAGGGTCTGGAGAACAAGCCCTATGAGGAGCGGCTTAAGGAGCTGGGCATGTTTAGCCTGAAGAAGAGAAGGCTGAGAGGGGATATGATAGCCATGTATAAATATGTGAGAGGAAGCCACAGGGAGGAGGGAGCAAGCTTGTTTTCTGCTTCCCTGGAGACTAGGACACGGAACAATGGCTTCAAACTACAGGAGAGGAGATTCCATCTGAACATGAGGAAGAACTTCCTGACTGTGAGAGCCGTTCAGCAGTGGAACTCTCTGCCCCGGAGTGTGGTGGAGGCTCCTTCTTTGGAAGCTTTTAAACAGAGGCTGTATTTAAATGCAATATTCCTGCTTCTTGGCAGAATGGGGTTGGACTGGATGGCCCATGAGGTCTCTTCCAACTCTTTGATTCTATGATTCTATGATTGTTTTTGTTGCTACTTCATAACAGTCATTTCACTACTGTTATAAATCATAATGTAAATATCAGATATGCAGTTTCATTCACTGGACCAAACTGGGCACAGATACCCAATGCACCCACATGTAAATGCTAGTGGGTTAGGGGAGGATTGATTTTGTAATTTTGGAGTTGTAGTTGCTGGGTTTTATAGTTCACCTATAATCAAAGAGCATTCTGAACTCCACCAATGATGGATTTGAACCCAATTTGCCATACAAAACTCCCATGACCAACGGAAAACATTGGAAGGGTTTGGTGGGTATTGACCTTGAGTTTGGGAGTTGTAGTTCACCTATATCCAGAGAGCACTGTGGACTCACGCAATGGTGGATCTGGACCAAACTTGGCACAAATACTCAATATGCGCAAATGTAAACACTGGTGGAGCCTGGGGCAAATAGACCTTGACTTTTGGGAGTTGTAGTTGCTGGGATTTATAGTTCATTACAATCAAAGAACATTCTGAACTCCAGCAATGATAGAATTGGCTCAAATTTCCCATATGGAATCCCCATGACCATCAGAAAATACTGTGTTTTCTGATGGTCATTGGTGACCCCTCTGACATCCCTTCGCGACCCCCTCAGGGGTCCCATCCCCCAGGTTGTGAAACACTGCTCTAGGTGTTTTGGACTTCAACTCCCACAATTCCTATCAGCCTATAGGCCTTCCTAAGGCCACTACCCATGTGATGGTGACCCCAAACCATAAAATTATTTTCACTGCTACTTCATGGAGGCTTCTATGGGGGCTTTTAAAGAGAGGCTGAATGGCCGTCTGTTGGGGGTGCTTTGAACGGATGTTCCTGCTTCTTGGCAGGGGTTGGACTGGATGCCCATGAGGTCTCTTCCAACTCTATGATTCTATAAGTGTAATTTATGCTACTCTTATGAATTGTAATGTAAATATCTGATCTGCAGGATGTATTTTCATTCACTGGACTAATTTTGGCACAAATACCCAATACGCTCAAATTTGAATACCGGTGGGGTTGGGGGAAGATTGATTTTGTCATTTGTGAGTTGTAGTTGCTGGGATTTATAGTTCACTTAAGAGCATTCTGAACTCCACTAATGATGGAATTGAACCAAACTTGGCACACAAAACTCCCATGACCAACAGAAAATACTGGGCATTGACCTTGAGTTTTGGAGTTATAGTTCATCTACATCCAGAGAGCACTGTGGATTCAAACAATGATCTGGACCAAACTGGGCACGGATACTCAATATGCCCAAATATGAACATAGATGGAGTTTGGGGAAAATAGACCTTGACAATTAGGAGTTGTAGTTGCTGGGATTGATAGTTCACCTACAATCAAAGAACATTCTGAACCCCACTAATGATAGAATTTGGCCAAACTTCCCACAGAGAACCCTCATGACCAACAGAAAATACTGTGTTTTCTAATGGTCTTTGGTGACCCCTCTGACATCCCCTTGCAACTCCTCCAGGGATCCTGGCCTCCAGGTTAAGAAATGCTGCTATAAGCTGTTAGGAATTGTGGGAATTGAAGTCCAAAACACATGAAGGGAGGGCCAAAGTTGGCCCATGCCTCATCTAGAAACTTCTCCTAAATAACCAAGTCATCCCACTGCATTGTCAAAGGTTTTCATGGCCGGAATCACTAAGTTGCTGTGAGTTTTCTGGGCTGAATGGCCATATTCCAGAAGCATTATCTCTTGACATTTCGCCCAAATCTGTGGCAAGCATCCTCAAGGGTTGTGAGGTCTGTTGGAAACTAGGAAAATGGGGTTTATATATCTCTGGAATATCCAGGGTGGGAGAAAGAACTCTTGTCTGCTTGAGGCAGGAGTGAAAGTCATCCCACTGTTTTTGGGGAACTGCAAACCCACTGTCTAAATAGCCAAACAAACCTACTGTTTTTGAAAACCAGTGGCATGAAACCCACTACTTCCTAAATCACCAAATCTTCCCACCGTTTCAGGACAGATGCGCAATGTGTTTGCAAAATAGTAAAAACAAACCCACGGCTTTTGAAAACTGGGGGTTAGGAACCCACTTCCTAATTAACCGAAAGTATCCCCATGTTTTTGGATACTAGACACCCACTTTTTTAAATAGCCAAACAAGCCCTCTGTTTGTGCACAGCAGGGACTAGGAACCCACTTTCTAAATAATCAAATACTCCTACAGAGCTAGAGTCTAAGGACTAGAAACATAATACTTTATTACACTCCTTATCTGGAAATCCAAAATTGCCTGCATGACTGGCTGAGATGATGATGCCTTTGCATTATCTTGGTTCAGTGTCCACAAACTTTGCTTTATGTGCACAATTATTATAAATATTGTGTATTAAATTGCCTTCAGGCTACCTGTCTGAGGTGCAATCAGGCTACATATCTGAGTAAATATGAAGAATAAATGCATATCAGTGTATTGTCAAAGGCTTTCATGGCCGGAATCACTGGGTTGTTGTAGGTTTTTCCGGGCTATATGGCCATGTTCTAGAGGCATTTTTCTCCTGACGTTTCGCCTGCATCTATGGCAAGCATCCTCAAATGCTAATTAAGATGGTCAGTTGAAACATTCACACCTAGTTCCAGCAGACGAGAGTCCTTTGTCCCACCCTGGTCATTCCACAGATATATAAACCCATTTTCCTAGTTCCAACAGACCTCACTACCTCTGAGGATGCTTGCCAAAACGTCAGGAGAAAAATGCCTCTAGAACATGGCCATATAGCCCGGAAAAACCTACAACAACCCAATGCATATCAGACTTGGGTCTCACCTCCAAGATATCTCAGTATTTATATTGGTATTCCAAAACCAAAAGAGATAATTGAGTTTCCACCTGTATTAGCCAAATAATAGAATCCTAGAGTTGGGAGAGACCTCGTGGGCCATTCAGTCCAACCCCATTCTGCCAAGAAGCAGAAAAATTGCATTCAAAGCACCCCTGACAGATGGCCATTCAGCCTCTGTTTGAAAGCCTCCAAAGACAGAGCCTCCACCACACTCCAGGGCAGAGAGTTCCACTGCTGAACAGGTCTCACTGTTAGGAAGTTCTTCCTCATGTTCAGGTGGAATCTCCTTTCCTATAGGACATTATAAATGAATGCATCCATTTATTTATATCTTGCCTTTCCATCACAATATTCACATGATAAACAATAATAACAAAGAGTTAAATAATCCTGCAGCTCTTAGGCCCCGGGGACTTGAAGCATGCTTTATAAATGGTCACTCTAGAATCCTGCTTCTCTTTTGGACCCCAGAGACCAGAGATGTGTGTTATAAATAGCCAAATAATCCAGATGCCTGCTATAAACACGCAAGAGGCAGGAAAGATGTTGGTTTTGCGGAAATACTGTACAACAGCCAACACACTCCAACACAAACACACATGCTCAGTCTCTCGCGCACACACAAAGGCGCACAGAATCTGTTCAGGGTAAACAGAGCTCTCTGGGCAAGAGATAAAGTTTTCTCCAAGCAGCTGAGTGTATTTATAGAGAAAGGAAAGTTGTAAACAGTGAGGTTTCAAAAGCCATGCGGCGCAAAGTGGTGCTCAGAGGCACACATGACAGCAAGACAGGTATTAACTAAGTTGGTGGGTTCCTGAGCAATGTTGAAATAATGTGGATAGAATAGGGAAGGGTTCTTAACATCACAAAATCAAAAAGAAGTTTTGGCAAATTATTGTTAAAGACTTTCATGGCTGGACTCACTGGGTTGTTGTGAGTTTCCCAGACTGTATGGCTATGTTCTGGAAGCATTCTCTCCTGATGTTTCACCTGCATCTATGGCAGGC